CAACGTACTTTAGAATATCTCTACTGGAGGTTTCTAACATATTATAAATCTCTAATGGAAATCGTTTTTCAATAACCGACTATTCGAATATGTATATATTGGAATGGGATGCTTAGTGAACAATCGGACATATATCTAGTCTATCTTAAAAATATTCATAACTATGTATATATATTTTTTAAAAATATCAAAATGGTAGTGTTTCAACCAAAAGTTACAATTTTATCTTAAAATATGCCATTTCAATTAAATTCATTTTTGAGTTTTGTAATGTAATATGTCTAATTTAAAAAGCAACTACAAAGGTATACGATAATCAATGTATTTCAAATTTGAAAAATTGTAATTGAAATTGATGAATATTTATATATGATCCTTAGTTAGTAAGTAGTATATTTTTCTATGTTTTAAGGTTCTGATTATTTTGGTGAATGAGAAATTTTAATTGACGTTTTGATTATCGGTGGAACAATATTATAAGAAGAGTTGTTTGATTTTAAATATTTATATTTGATTAGTTACAGTATTCATATTTGTCCAATCGTTTTATAGATTCCAAAACGTGTGTTCTTGATTTCTAAACTACTTTTAACGTAATAATTATTTTATAGACTAGTTGAAACATTAAACATCAATACATGTAATCAATTGACTTTAAGGAGCAATATCTATAATTATCATAAACGACATTTTGTCATTCGTGAATACTTACATTATTTAAATATAGGGTATGACATAGAAAATAGGAGTAATAGGGAAGGCCTTTAAAGAAGGTAGTTCTTCCACCATTAAAAATAAATAAACAAAAAATATTTTGAAATATCGTCAAGGCTGAGCGTTAAAATTGTTTTTCAGAGAAGAGTGGTATATATATATATATATATATTTTTTTTTTTTTTTAAATAGAGGAATATGGTGAAATCGATCACTCTCCCGAAGGGGAAAAGTGCCAAAAGATCTCTCAGCCAAGCCCAAAGCCAAAGTAATCCCGGTCTTAGCAACAAAATGTAGGTCAACAGACTGAGGAGATGGCATATGGAATTTATTGAGTCCAATAAACTCATTTAAAAAAAGCTTTAGGTCTAACGAATCAAGGAATCGACATATGAAAAATAATAAAATGAAGTTTTTTATGAACTGGATTAAATATTTGTTTCTTTTGAATCACAACAAATGATTTAACATATATGGTATCCAAATTCTCGAACTTCTGACTATGATCGATATTTCGAATATTCTGGTCAAATACTGGACCAAATAATAGATTGTTCGATTTCTGGTTAAGATTGTTTTTCTCAACCCTATTAAGCACAGTTAAACGTGTAATACAAAGTGTTCCCACGGTTTAATTACGTGAATAATTTTTATCTATCTAATTTATTATTTTTTTTATCTAATTTTATAGCTACTCAAAGCGCATACTAAATAATTTTTTTCTTATTAAAATCTATAAATTGTCGCTGTTACATTTATTGTCCCTAGGTAAGTTAAAATTGCGTATGTGCTTGTATATAGTTGGTTCGATTGAATAATTGTGTCTACTGTCCAGCCATTTGAAATTATTTTTTTAATAAAGGCGGGTACTACAAATTGTGGTTCATACACTTACAAGAATCTCATTGGGGAAAACAAGATGGTGATGTAGAAACTTCACATTAGAGCGAGTCCATGTTTGATTGCGACACTTTTACTCTTATCATTGTCTTCCATTAGTTCCATATCAACTAGAGGTCTAGAACGCATCTACATACATACATACATATATCGTCATATTACATAGTAAAAAAATATACTCTCTTTCTTTGTAATTTTTTTTTTTTGAGATTTTCTTATTGTTGCATAAATAGTGATTTTCTGGATTTTCTATACATCACTTATTAATTGATGTTAATAAATTATATAATTTTTAAAAATATTAATTGAAAAATATTTGAGTTTGTTGAATTATATTGACTCGTAAAATGTGGGAATGTTTTTAGTGAGAAAAATTGCATATTGCATATATATATATATCTAAATATTAGTTATTTTTAATTTCTATGAAAACTATAGAAATTCATTCTATTAGAAGCAAATGAAGTGTTTGACCAAAAAAGAAAAGAAGGAAATGGAGTATAACATATTATATATATATATATATATATGTGCGCAAATATATGTGTAGATGTCCATAAATTAGACAACACCAACAACCCCATATTTAATTAAATTTGTGTATTTTTAAATTTAAATTACTTTTAACGGATAAGATGTTTCAAATGCTCTTTTGGTTTTGTCACCTTGTTTGTAGGCACATTTTCAACTTTATTTGACATTAATTAATCTTTTGTTCGTACTTAGTTTACACATTAATGCCAACTCATTTCACATTTACTATCAATTGTTATCGATATCTTAGCGGAATCCACCGAACTAGTACGTTTTAATTGATTTTTATTTCTTGAAAATATTCAAATTAATTGTTCAGCACGTAATAAGAAAACAAATAAATCGGAACCTTAACTAAGTCTAGTTAAATGATGTAAACCAAAAAACTAAGTCTAGTTAAGTTTTTAAACTATTTGTCTAATCGGAATAAAAAACATGTACTTATTGATTGATTCATAGTAGTTGGAGCATATAAATCACTATTATAATTACTATTACATTAAAAAAATTATAGCGGTCAAATGGTTATAAAGCTGTTTTGTAACTAACTATCAAACACTCTTTGTCTCATAATATAAAATGTTTAAGAATTTATTTTTGTTTCATTTTATAAGATATTTTATAAGTTCTTAATTATGCAATATTTAATGTTACTTTTTTAACTCTTTTGAATTCTGTAATTTTGTTAATTGGCTGAATTATATTTTTAACTAGTAATTAATTACGGTTTGTTTAAAAAATTAATTTCTTAATCTGTACATTTTTTATCTAAAACATCTTACATTTTGGAACAAAAAGATGATAAAACAAATATTATATATTCACTGGATTTAAACAGGCTATAAAATTCTTTATGAACCCCTGAAAAACTTTTTGAATGTCTAACCAGTCACGATCATAAAAGAATAGAATGCATATATGCATTAGTTAAACACGATCAGAAAAAGCTCATTTTAGATGAATTTTGTATGTCATTGGGTGAATCACATACTATATAATAGTCATTTGTCCACAACACGTTAGAACGAATGTCTATCCGTAAGATAATAACTCTCAAAACACTAACTAATTTGTGATGGTTGACTCAAAGAGGGCAGAATTATTATTTATTTATATTTTTGGTTTAAGGGCACAATTATTTTTTTAATATATATGTAAGCATACATGAATGGCCAAATGTGACATGTACCACCAAGGATCATGATTGAAATATAGTGAGAATACCGATAATGTTAGATTTACCTTAAAACTCTTGAAATACACTGAAACATAGTATTCTTAAAATTGTTGAATCCACAACAACAAATACCAAAAAAAGGAAGATAAAGAAAAAAAACTCATGATTTTATTTAGACATAAACTGAACACAATTTTAGAAGTAAAAAACTTATATATCATAAATTTCTAAACTAAAAAACTCTCAAATAATATAAAGAAATTACTCAAATATTAAAATAAATAATTAGTAATATTTCAAATATCTAGCAACATCATTATTTCCATATAAAAATTCATCCGCAAATCTTAATATTGGTCTCCAGTTTCAAATTCTTTTCCGCCTAAGATATAATTTTGGATTAGTTGCATTGGGTTGATGAAGTAGAAGATCTTACGGCCTTAAGAATCATTTAGAGTAAGTAAATACATGTTTGAGTCTCATGAGGCATTTTAGGATTATCATCAAACTCCAAGTAGAGTCTTTTGCATTTTTTGTACTTTGAAGTTATTTCAAGAACAAAAGATGAGACTGGAGAGGATTTTGGAGGAAGTAAACAATGGAGGACAGCTAAGGAATAGATAGCAGCTAAGGGAAAGCCGCATAGAAGGCAAAAAGGGGAGAAAACAGACTAGCATCAATGTGAGCTATCTTTCTGGTCACTTACCCTTGATTTTGGTTGCAGTTAAAAAAAAAAAAAAGCCTTGATTTTGGTCTGCCGTTCTTTTTAGTTCCTTGTAACTCTATTTCACTAATTCAAGAAAATCTTTTAAGAAAAAAAAGTCTCATCGTAGTTTATAGATTCTTTTAATATGAAGATTATTAAAAAATTTCAAACAGACCCCATTGGTATAAATTAATCTGTGTATAAACTAGGTCGTCTATTTTTTTTTGTATGTAAAATTTAGAGTATGGGGTGGGGGATGTATATTATAGATACATGAAGTAAAGAATAGAAAGCGACAGTGTATCGCGTGGTGGCAGTTGTTGCGACATACCTATACAATTGAAGCCAATAAGTAGAAGTCAAATGTCAAAATGTTTCATTAATTACACAACTGTACACAAACAATGTTTTACTAATGAATGCATATGTTAATGTGGGGATTACAAAACACGTAGACACAGATAATAACACGTAGAGGACCACCGGGCCATCGGTCCATATATATGTTATGTAATTATAGATGGTCGTTAGAATTGGTCCCTTTTGTTTAAATTTTATGGGGTCATTACTTATTTATAAAGCAATAACTTATACCTTAATTACTTCATATATATATATATATAACATATAATATATTTTTAGTATAACTTTTAACAAAAGTTTAATTGTTTGAATTGAAAGGAAAAATTTGTTAGTTTGGTGTTTGATTCGATGACCTTAATCATTTGTGTAAAGTTTATACCCATGTATAAAATGCTCATCAAAAACTTTCTGTCTGATAATTCAAAATCGTATTCAGATCTGACAGTGACTGGATCAAAACAGTTTGTTAATTTCTCAATAAATACTCTTTCATTTTTTTTTCTCGAAAACTTTTTTGACCATCAATTCTGGTTATAGATCCAGTGGAATCAGTGGAGCATAACATGAATACAGAAGAGTATATTCTGTACATTCCGCAGGAGATAGTCTATCAAGCCCATTAATATCTAAGATGGGCCTAAAGAAAGAGCCTGTTAATTAATCCAAACATTTTTTATATTTTTTTTTGTGCTTACATAGATATATGTACAGACATAAATCAAGGATAGTGTCAGGAATCAGGATCATGATGAGAAGAAGAAGAAGAAGAAGTTTGGTTCTGATTAATAAGGTTAAACCAAATGGAATGAAGTATCATATGAAACACATCGTACCTTCTAGGTTTAGGGCTCCACAAGAAATGTCTCTGAACCATCTTCACGCTACTCTGCATCTTCAGGTATCTCCTCATCGGAATCTCCAACAGTATCTCCTTCAGCCTTGGAATCTCCTTCTCCGGCACAACCACCGAGAACGCCGACCAATCCAGCAAATCGCTGAACGGCAACACGAAGTTATCAGCGATCACCACGGGGACACACTCATAGTATATAGCCTCAACGATCCGTGGACTGTTCACTTCGTAACCCATTGGACATAGACAGTATTTGCTCGATTTCATGTGTTGCACGTAAGTCATCTTCCTAGCCACGTTGTGTGGAAGCGGACCGTAGATTCTCATGTCTTCGTCTTTGTTTCTCCAGTGTTTAAGAAGCTGTGGACGTACACGACCGTGGAGGTTCCCAGCGAAGAAAGCGAGTATTGGACGCTGAGAAACTCTGTTTCCGTTTCCGATGTATCGGAGTGGTCTCCCTGCGTTTCTTATGGAAGTCTCCGGGAGAGAAACGTCTTTCCCGGGGACGAAGATTCCGTCTGATAAATCTGCGTTGCAAAGAGCTTTAATGGCATTTCGGCTTAGCTCTGGATGCTCGTTCACTGTGTAAGGACCCTGCACAATAAAGATGTAAAGATAACATCGAGAAAGATAGAAATGTTCTTGAACAAAGAAAACGTTTTTTTTGTTACCCAATCGTGGCAAGCGACGAGGAAATGATCTGATCCGTGAGTGCGGTTCCAAAAAGGGTATTTGATGGAGAGCATGTTGACGTAGTCTCTAAGAAAGATCGATAAAGGTTTGATGTTGTGTGATCCAGGGACAAAGATAGCATGTTGAAGCTGTTTCACACTGTATGGCATGTAGAACAAGTGAGCCTTCTCAGGGTTCTTTGTGACAAACTGTGTGTTTGACTCCATTAGCTTCATGAACCAACCTTCTGAAGCGTATATACCGTTCAAATGTGGTTGGTGGAATATCGGTTTTTCTCCATCAGGATATATGTAGACCTTAAGTATTAGTTCCATAAGCTCATAACTCCTGAAAAAACAAAGTGAAACATTATGATTGTGTGTTTACTTTGGTTTCAAAGCATTTGGGTACCTCTGAAAATTATATTCCATAAGATATTTCACAATTTATTCAACACACTCATTATTAAAATAACCTTTTTCAACACATATCATAATAGTTTTTTGTATTGTACCTTTTGAAAACAGAGAGATTGCGAAACACTGGAGCAAACAGATCTGTGTCATTTACGACTTGAGGGGCACGCTGGATCTCAAGTTTAGCATAAGCTAAAGCTTCTTTTGGTGGCAATGAAAGAGCATGTCTCTGTTTCATTCCACAAGAGATTTTGCATTGGAGTGAGTTGCAAGAAAAACAAATAGAGAAACTTAAAACCTCTCTAATGAATGAATCTGATATCACCTGACCTCAGAGGAAGAAAGAACATGTTTTGGTGCTGGTGGAGGATCAGGGAGAATCAGCTCGTCTTTCGTCTTCTTTCTTTTCTTTCTTTTTCGCCTTTTCCTCGAAAGAACGCTTTCATCTACAGGTTTTCCTCCGGAAGAAGAATTCAATTCCTTTGTGGGAGTTGCTGTAAGAGCAGGAAAGCTTTCGACCTTTGATTCACTACTAACGATTTGTATATTCAAATGTAGAGAACCGTTCAAGTAAATAGGCGAAGAAGAAGAAGAAGAAGAAGACTCGGTTTCTTCATCATCGGAGAAGATAGGAAACGTCGGTGTGTGAAGCAGAACAACAATGGTGGTCATTATAGAACCGAGAAGAAACGCGTTTCTCCATTTGATCATTTGCCTCCTGAAACCCTTAATTAACTCCTTCATTGAAACCTCTATAAATACCCTCAAAGGGCTTTTCATCTTCACCATCTAAAAATCAAAAATCCAATCAAAATTCTTCTATGCGTGATGAACACTCCATCTCCAGTCAGATTCCTTATGGTGGTAAGTTATTAATCTCTGATTCAAACTTACAAACCCTAAATTTCGCAATAGATCAATAGACCTGATGATCCATAAAAACAAAACAAAAACGAATAACCATTTGAGTTACGAGTAACTGAAAAAAAAAAACCCTAATTAATTCTGGTACCTTGATCATTGCGAATTTCGATATGGGGATTTTGGGTGACAAGAGAGAAGATTGGATCAGAGATTTTTCTCGAACCAGAGTGAGAAAAAATGGATGGAAGGAAAGCGCGAGAGGCCTTTGTTGAGTAGATAGATTTGGTAACGGTAATGTATAGTGTATAATTCCCTCCGGAAAAATAGCTTAAGTTTCCTATAATTAACCTTTAATTACTTCTAATTTTGGAAATAATTAAAAATCGGATCAAGTCGTGTTAATTGTTTTGGCTGACGTGTGTATTTCGTCACTCTATATCCATCCTGCAGGCGTTTTTTTTTAATAAAAAAATCTATTAGTATTAGAAAATACTAATTTATTGATGTCACTAACATATCCAACATTAGTGTGATTTAATACACTTATCATACATGCTTTGACTAATCGAGTGGAACAGGATGGACGAGCAAAGACCGGACATCATGGACGGTCTTAGCCTTGTCGGGACAGCCATGGCCATCACCGTGCTGATAAACGCATTGATGAGCCACGCGTCCAAGATTAGCCGCAGCTTCTAGGAAACCTTGATGTAGTCAATGTTGTTAACAACAACAGCCCCGGCCTAACACTTACAAAAATTCTAGGGAAAAAAAAAATTAAGACCTTTTATAAAAATTTAATATCAAAAATCTGTATTTAAAAACTCTTTTAAAATAATATTTTTGTATATAAGTCTTTCTAAACAAAACTTTTTGATAAATATTGATTTTCTAAAGAGATTTTTGTCCAATACATAAGCCCATTTTATAAGGAAATTTTTTTAAAAAGACTCAAACCCCATGGGCCGCCGCCCTCTGCCCACCCAGAAGTTCAAATCATCCCAAGCCAGATCGACCATTTGTTAGAATCTCACTGATCTCACGTTCGAAATGGTAAGAAACTCCGAGTCTTTATAAAGTGTCGACGAATCTCACTGTTTCAGTCAGCATTTTACTCACTTCTTGCTTCAATAACTTAACTCTCTCGCTGTTGTCCTCATCTGCATGATCTAAAATATAGTAATCATACAGTAACTTCCTGTATTAATAGATTTTCATATCATACGTCGTGTAGATTTTCGTACGTACCGCGTATGTATTACCCAGCGAGAGGAGATACTCGTGCTCCCACAGAGACGGTCGATAGTTTGCAGAGCGACGGACTTCAAGAGGCTGTGGCTGTGTTTTCGATACAGCCTTGGGAGTGAAATGCCTATGAATCTGTCGTTTAGGCATTTCTTTGCTTTAATGACTAAACTAAAAAGTTTAATTATTTGATGAACTGGTCTTTAGTCTTTGCCATGATATTTTATACTGTTTAAGGTTTGGGTTTCGACCACAGATCATGAAGAAGATATTTTCTTTTTCAAATAATATTTTTTTGTGCTATATGATCAGGACTAATTACTTAGCGTCAGTCACACGATTTACTCGCCGAATATCTTTAGTACCCGTTCTCGTAAATATCTTCATTAACAAAAAAAAAATGGAGAGGTAGTGACTGAAACATCTCGGAATTATTACATAAATCCACACAATTTTAGGGTTTCTTGCTTTCAACGTCCCAGAAAACAAATATTTGTCGAAAAAAACACGTCCCAGAAATTATCTACAATTGTGGATAAAAATGTTTTGGAAGTACAACGTTGGGTGTAAACTTTAAATCCGGGATTTAAGCACCATGATACGTACCAAGCCATCAACACAAAACATAAGACCATCTCCAACCATGGTCTTTAATGAAGGGTTTTAATTTTTTTTTTTTAATACTTTTTTGTTCACTTTAATGTTTAAGAACCTCTTTTACATTTTTTCATCTTTTTAGTGTCCAATGGTAGTATTTAATAGGAAGTTCTAATTTTTTAAAAAAATATTTTTTCAAATACAAACATTTTATTAATACAAATTATTTTATTGATTTGAAATTTAAAGATAGAATACAGAAAAGCAAAATAAACAGAGAGATGCAAATCATAATTTGAAATTTAAACATAGTTGTAATTTTGAGTTGTACCAAACTTAAACTAAAATAAAATATTTGATTTAAGAAAAAAAAAGTATTTGATTTAAAGAGTAGAAAAAGTTTTTGAGAAAGAATGTTTGATTTAAATAGTGGGAAAACTTCTATTTGAGAAAGAGTGTTTGATTTAAAAAATAAAATAAAAAATAAAAACCTTCAATCCAAACAGAAGGTGACATGTATGAGTCTCTAATGAGTTTCTAAAAACTCATAAACTAGAGACGTTTCTACTTATATTAGGCATTAAAACATTATTTTTAAATCAAATAATAGCTTAAAACTTCATTAGAGACTGCTGTTAGAGTTGGTCTAAGGGAAATTAAGAGCATGATTATTGGTATGACCTCTAATGAGTTTCTTATGAATATTTAATGAATTAATTTGTGTCAAGAAACTATTAAAAGAAACCATGTTTTTTTAATGGTCCATTGGTAGAAACTTATATGGGTTTCTTGTAAGAAAAAAAATTATGTTTTTTTTAATGGAAATAAAGATAATTAATTAGATTATTACATTATGAAATTAAAAAAAAAACAGAAACAACACAAACATACAATTGAAATGTAAACATAAATTTTGTAATACAAACTTAATTGTTGGCTTCAGTACGTCCCAAATTTTTGCCAGACATGCTCCAACAAATCAGCTTGCAAACGATCATGCCGTGGTTTATCCCGAATATCATTTCGAATACCCATCATATTAGCAATGTTTGAGAGCATATACGTTGAATATGAGAGATCCACAGTTGAACTTCCGCTTCCTTCTCCATGTTCAAAATTTGAAAGATCAAAATGTCTGTATCCATCTCGTTTGTTTTCTACTATCATATTATGGAGTATGATACAAGCTCTCATAATCTTCCCTATTTTTGCTTTATCCCAAAAAAGAGCAGGATTTTTAAGAATGGCGAAGCGAGCCTGTAAGACTTCAAAAGCACGTTCGACATATTTCGGTAGCCTTCTTGACGTTCAGCAAATAAGCATGACTTTGGATCTTGTGGAGCTGGTATAGATTGCACAAAAGTGGCCCATTTTGGATAGATACCATCTGTGAGATAGTATGCTAACTTATACTCGCGTCCATTGACATAAAAATTTACTCGTGGAGCTTTACCTTGTATTATATCATCAAAAACGGGAGATCGATCAAGAACGTTTAAATCATTTAATGTACCTGGAGGTCCAAAAAAGACATGCCATATCCACAGATCATATGAAGCAACTGCCTCTAGAACGATAGTGGGTTTTCCTGAACCACGTGTATACTGGCCTTTCCAAGCCGTTGGACAATTCTTCCACTCCCAATGCATATAGTCGATGCTTCCTATCATTCCGGGAAATCCCCGTTGCTCTCCGAAATGAAGTAACCGTTGAAGATCCTCTGGGGTGGGTCTTCTTAAGTACTCATCACCGAACAAATCAACAATTCCTTCTACAAAATGTTCCAAACATGCACGAGCGGTTGTTTCACCTAGACGGAGGTATTCGTCAACCGTATCAGCCGCAGTGCCATATGCCAAGAGACGAATGGCAGCTGTACACTTCTGAAGCGGTGAGAGACCAGGCCTTCCGAGCGCATCTTTCTTCTGTCTGAAGTAACGTACTTCGGTGGAAAGTTTTTCAACTATACGTAAGAACAAATGTTTGTTCATCCTAAAACGTCGCCGGAAATAATTAGCCGAATATGTTGGAGTTTCACTGAAATAGTCGTTCCATAACCGGTTGTGGCCTTCTTCATGATCTCTTTCGATAAAAGCCCGTTTTTCCATGATTTGGTTGTCTCCATTTGATCGCCATAATAATTCAAACAATTCTGTAAAGTTTGATTGAACATTTGCTCTACGTTTTCTTCAAAAGCTTCATTAACTGGCCCATTGAAGTCGTTGTTGGATGAAGAAGCCATTTTTTTAAGGAATTTGATTAGAAATGAAAGAAAAAGAAGAGAATTAAATTGAGAAAGCTTGTGATTTGTATCAAAGTATGGAAACTTATATTGGTAGCAAAGTAAGAAGGAAGACGAAGGAAGAGTTTGGAAACTTAGATTGGTAGCAAAGTAAAAAGAAGTTTGATGTTTTTGCTTTAGAGAGAAGTCACGATAAAAAGAGAGAAGAAGTTCGATGAGTTTATGAAACAACATTTGCAGTAAAGTCTCTATAAATAAACGATTATAACTTATACATGTGGTGTCAAATTGTTTTTACAATGTGTGGTCTGAGAAGAAAAAAACAAAATACAAGGCAATAGAAAAGAGACTTGTGACACTCATTTGGTGTTTTGTGCCACGCCCAATAATTGTTGTCCACCGAGTGGGAAATCTGTCACCACATCTCTTATTGTACAAGTACAAACATAAGGTGAGTTGGCATAATAATTCAACAAGAGCAAAGTTCATCATCTTTAGTTAATTTTTATATAAAGATCAAACTTAAAGCTCATCATCGTAAGGTAAAAGTTAATAAAAAGAAACATTCATTTTCATAGATAAAGAACAAAAGTAACAACCACATTCAAGTACTTAACCGAGAGATCAGACCCACCTTAAGCAAGTACAAACACAAACTTAAGGTTAAAAAAAGCTTAAACATAAACTTTAACAGAAAACCATTCTAAAACAATTCAGTCATGAGTTTCTTCTTAACATCTTCCTCATACTCTGATAGTGGCCCTTGCTTGGCCAAAAGACATTCAAGTATACCCATCTTCTTGATTTTTGCCTTCATTTCCAAGTCTTTCTCTTGAATTTGCCACACTGCTTGAAGCGCAAGCAATGGTTCTTCTTTCTCTACCACTGGCTTCTTGCCCTTGGCTTTAGATGCCTTGACACCTGCAGGTCGCTTGCCTCCATTATCTTCATCGCAAGGGTGGGTCTCCTCAGCACCCGATCCATCTAAAACTCTTCTTTTTTTGGAGTTTCCAGCTACCTTTTCTGTTGAAAGAGCAGACCATTTCTGATCATTTCTGAGCTCATACCAAGCATGCTCTAAAGTGAACTTCTTCTTGTGATTGTTGTAGCAGATCTCATGAGCCATTTTGAGAATATCATTCTCATTCTGACCACTGGATCTCTCTCTACAAGCAGCCTCATATGCTCCACAAAATTTGCAGACTTGATCATTTATTTTCTGCCATCTTTGCTTGCATTGGATCGCCTCTATCTTCTCACCAACACACTTTGAAGATGCTGAAAAATAAATGGCTATGCGCTTCCAAAAGGCAGTTGACTTCTGTTCATTTCCCACCACAGCATCCTTGCTCGTGTTTAACCACGAGCTGATGAGAAGAATATCATCACTCGGGCTCCACTGTCGTCTTTCCTTCTTTTCCGTTGCAGGTGATGCTTCACCGATGGATGCAGGACTTTCTTCAAGAAAGCTAGACAGATATCCGCAAAAAACAGAGTCTTGTTGACTGTTCAACAGTTCAACAAAGTTTGAGGTTGTGAAAGCTGGACCCGTAGAAGAGAATGCCATTTTTGGTACAAGGAAAGATGAGAGGAAGATGAGGCAAGAAGCTTTTGGGAATGGTTTTCAGAAGAAACAGATGAAGCACAAAATGGATTTTTGGAAGAGGAAGAGGGAGAAGCACAAAACCGAACAAAAGACAAGCACAAACTGAGAAGAAGAAGCAAGGATAGTTTGTTTAGAAAGAGAGGAAGCACCGACTAATAAATAAGCCAATGGTGCAACACTGATGAAGGAAATGAAAGGAACTTTGATGGAAGTAAAGCAAAAACGTTTTTCGAGGTTCAAAACCCCATTTATTATCCTAAACCAACCTAAACTCAGCCATTACTCTACACTAAAGCAAAAACAGATATATTGAGTTGACATATATCTAACACTAAATCAGCATTCAAAAACCATTTCCAGAAACCATTTAACACTTTAAAACCATTAAACCTAAATCAGCATTGATCAAGCCTCAACCACTCCATATCTAACTAGGCATTAATTACAATAAAGGAAACTAGAAGACTAACCTGAAGCTTTGTAACGACCAAAGGGAACAAGAAACTAGGTTACGATCCAAGTAGAAGATGAACAGCTGTAGATAGACTTTTGGAAGAAGCTTCAATCTGCAAAAATCATTATCATTTAAAACTCAGCACTATAAACCGATGAAACATTTACATCTAGTTTCACCACCTCGAACTTTGTTTCATTAATCTAAAACAGATAAACTCCCTATACCGATTACAGTTTACATTTGCAACAGATATTTGAGGAACTATTTACATCATGAACCATCACCGATCATGAACAATTTAGATGAAGAACCCTTTAGATCATGAACCGTTAACTTCAGCTAAAAAAGATAGAAATAGATAGAGCATATGACCAAAAACGATTTACAGATCGTGAACCATATACCATATACCTATCAGCCATTTTTACAGATCATGAAGCATTAGAAGTTTACAGATCAGAATACCTCATCAATTCATCGATTCAGAGACTAATTCAGGAAATATATCATCGATTCAAAGACTAATTCACGAAACCTCATCAATTCATCGATTCAGAGACTAATTCAACAAATCCAGAAACTACATGCAAAATACCATTTCCGACTAAGAGGATGAAGAACGAAGATGAAGAGGATGAAGAGGATTAAGGAGAGAATCACTTATCTGTTAAATCGATGGAGGAGAAGAGGAAGCATCTGCGCCGGAGAATATGAGCATCGCCGGAGAATTTGACGCCGTCGACGATAACAGATGAAACGACGAAGGAGAAGTGGGCGATTGTTTTTTGGCCGATAATTTTTGGTCATGGATGAGAAATGGCCGAGATTTCTCTTCATTGAAAATGATTTTGGTCGATAAATTTTTTGGACCAATGAGAGGATGCCACATACACAGCAGGGATCGTTTCCACTTAATCCCAAATTAGGATCGATCCCACTTCTTTTGGGCTTTTTTCTTTTTTTTTTAATTTCAAAAAGGCCCTTAGTAACCTAAAAGAAACTAGCAATAAAGATGGTCTAACATATTGACCAAAAAAAACACAAAACATAAGACCATGTTTATGGTAAAACAAAACCCACAAGGGTTTTCTAAAACATATTTTAATATTAAAATTTTGAGAAGAAAAAGAGAGAAATCGAAGAAAAAGAGAAAGAGAGAGAAAAGGAGGAGAATGAATGAGAGAGAAAATCGACAAAGCAGAAAGGACATGTGGCATTAAGAGACTCCTTTTAAGAGCATGATTATTGCTATTACCTCTAATGGGTTTCTTATCATTATTTAATGTATTGATTTGGAGCAAGAAACCATGTTTTTAATGGTTCATTAGGAAAAACTTACTTGGATTTCTTGTAACCAAAAAATAAATTAAGTATTTTTTTAATGGAAATAAAGATAATTCCAGATTGAACTAATGTTGTTCATGATTCCAGAAAGAGCATAACTAAAAGTTTTCACAAATGGTCATCTATATACGGAAGCTTTATCTTGCCTGCAAGGCTGCTTCATTATTTGTGGCCCTTTGGTTGAAAATGTCCAAGATAAGGGCGGTGCAGTCACAAACTCGTACATCCCCACCAAAGGCCTCTTCCAGGTTACGCAATTGCCTGAAATTTAAAATATGAAGTAATGAGAAAATGAAACACATGCTCAGTTCACATTTATGTTGATAAACTAGCGTGGAAACAAACAAGAGTATGAAACTCCTACATACTACACAATCCAATGACCACTTTAGTAAATATTAATCAGCTAACGACCAAGACAAGCTACAGCTTTGTGAAAGAAGAAACAGAGTAGCTTGCAGTAAAAAACAAATTGAAGAATAAAAAACTCATAACTATAGATTTTGGGAAACTTATAAGTTAAACGGTATGCAAGACGCAAGGTGGTCTTAATTTAAAAGCACAGGTTTCCACTAAGAAGGAAAATTACACAGAAACGTTACCCTAGTGAAAGTTCATCGTCAAATATCACGGTCTCAACGTCCAATGCGTGTATTCACTATATGCCGATGAAAAAGATAGATCATTAAGCTAAAACAGATAGACACAATATACAGATCGGATCAGATCAAACGATAGAAACATATATATCATGAACCATTTACATCATGAACCATTTACGATCATGAACAATTTATATCATGACCCATTTAGATCATGAACCATTAATTTAAGCTAAAAGAGATAGAAATAGATAGAGTATATCATAAAAACGATTTACAGATCATGAACCATATACCATTTACAGATCAAGAACCATTTACAGATCATGAACCATTTACAGTTACAGATCAGAAAACATCATCAATTCATCGATGTCTAAACTAATTTAGGAAATATATAGAAACTACCTGCAAAAATAGAGAGATTATTAAACTCTTTCCATGATTTACAAACGAAATCCTCGATCCATAAACTAATTCAGCAATTCCGACTAAGAAATCCAGAATAAAAATCAACAAAGAAGATGAAGAGGATTAATGAGAGAATTACTTATCTGTTAACTCCATGGAGAACACGATGAGGCATCTGCAAATCGGCGCCGGAGAAGACAACCATCGCCGGAGATGACGCTGGACATGATGGCGGATGAAACGAGAAAGGTGGTTGTGCTTCAGTGAAAAATTTGGTCGAGGATGAGAGAAATGGTCGAACGATTCTGTGACCCCAAAAGAATTATCGCCCAAACATTTTTTGTCCAATGAGAAGCTGCCATCTGGCACAAGAGGGATCGTTTCTTCTGGTGCCCAAATAAGGAGCGATCCTATCTTTTTGGGCTTTTATGATTTAAATTTAATTCAAAAAGGACCCAAGAAACCTCTAAGAAACGTGCGATAAAGATGGTCTAAAGTCCTCAAATAAGAAACGTTGTCAATAAATATTGGGTTTTTTCTTTTTTTTTGGGTCAAAAACTCTTAAGGGACGTTTTATCCACGCGATGTAATTTTGACGTTAGTTCTTGGTATAACCATATTTTTAAACAGTGTATTCTCTTCCACATATATTATAAATCCATGAAAATCGGCTGAAATGTGACAAATGTTTGAGTGAATATTTTCAGCAGTAGAGAATAATTATCAATCAGACGAGCATGAAGAATTAGAGCGAGGAAAAAGAGATTTAAAGCACTGCTTATTTTAGACCACAATCTTTGACTACTTATAAATATACACTAATTTTTATTATTATTTTACAAAGATACATTAAAAACAAACTTTTGTGTTATGTGTGATTTACAATTGTGTTATGCTGAGGTGTCAAATTTAGAAAGCTTCTCAGAGATTTTTTTAAAGTAGGCTCAACTTACTAGACTAATTACATCAAATACCACTAACATTAATTTGGTTAGAAATTAGTATATATCAGTTATATATTTAATACTCAAATATTTAATTTGTAAGAAAAAATTTTCTCTTTCTATTTTTTATCAACGTATTTATAAAAAATAAAAAATAATATTATTTATATTACTAAACATTATATTTTTTATTTCATTTTTCTTTGATCTTCATTTTCTTTAAAAGAAAAATCACATTATCAATTTAATAATAAAAAATATAAATATTTTCATACATATTATAAGTCAAATTTTTTTAAAGTATATTAGTCTAATGTTGAGCCGGTTAAATAGAACATATTAATCTAATTTATTATATTTAATATGCAATTTCATTCATCTAAAAATACTATTAGAATTAATTATAAAATCAATAATTATATAGCATTTATGCAATTATATTACAAAATAAATATAATTTTAATCATTATTTATAATTGAATAATCAATACATATATTTGTAATTATAAATATCAGCTAATATTTTTTATAAATGTATTTACATATTCAATAATTATGATTAATATTTATTCTGCACATGGTACGAGTAATCATTTAGTCTCCTACTACTAGTTATTTCTTACCGTTAAAAAGTCTTATCCTTTTATGTCTCCAACGCTCAAAAATTTCCATATATAGTGGGAGGAACTCGAAAAGAAACAAAAGCAGAAATTGAACTTTTGACATTTGTTTGCAAAACATAATAAAATAAATAATCTTAAAATCACATACAGTATATGTATATATTATAACAGCGCAGATGACGACTGAAAACAGTGTCATATATCGTAAAATAGAACAACTACAAATACTATAATAGATAATAGACTCAGATCAGATGTTAAAAAAAGAAAAAGAAAAAAAGATAGTAGCTAAACCTAGATGATCAAAAGGTATTTAAACGAGAAGTACTGTACTGTACATGTATGTAATTATAGATAAAAGTATTTTCATGTAGTTTTTTTTTGAGTAAACACTTCTGTTTATATTTCGAAGTTCAAACTAAAAGTTAATTAATGTTCTAAGATCAGATGTTGTTCGTTTTCAACCCAACTTATAGAGTTACAAATTTAAATGTAGATTCAATCTTATTAGTTTTAGAGTTGTATAAATCTCAAGGGCATTTCTTTAATCAAAAATTTAACTAATTTCTAGTAGATATAT